TTGGCTAAAATATTGATCAGGTCATTTAACAACACTAGAAAAAACTGTTAGATACTGATAAGAAACATAAAATTATTTCCAAAAAATAATTGTCTTCTTTCCAGATTATTAATTAATTGAATAACTCAATATCAATTTTTTTTTTTAAAAACTGACTAGAACAAAATTTTTATTTTTATTGTAATAAACATAGAAAAATACAATAAAGATTTCGAAAAATAAAATTTATTCGAATATTTTTAATGCAAAAATTCGAATATTTTTTTTATCATTTTCTTCCTTTTGCCACCTCTACCAGATTTGTGCTTTAAATACTGCTGATAATTCCAAATATTCTCTGTAGTCTTTATTTTTTAATGTAAATAAAATTTTCGTATCTAATAAATTATACATACTTTAATATCTAATTTCTTTAAGTAATTTATTTATGTTTTTCTGCTACGGTTTGAATCTTCATTTTTTTTAAAATAAAACATTGGTAGCCATTTTTGGGGATTTTCACTGGTGACAAAATTGCCAACATTCCCCATTTTTTTTTAGCGATTTTTCGTTTAGCGATTTCGAACCGATCCCCTTTATTCCGTATTTAAAAGGCAACTTTATTAAATTTAATTAGCGTATAATTTAAATAACTAGGAAGGGATTTTTAGTCTCCCCCCCCCCCACCTTTGTCGGCTTTCTTGCAAAAAATCCGAAAAGAATCATATGGGAGACCAGGGTAAAACGATCGGCATTTTGCATATTTACAATAAAAATTTTAAACAAGAGTCAAACACAACAATTTGCAAATCAACGTGTAGCCACATCCCTCTACGAGATAAAAGAAAGTGTAGCCCTCTACCTAAAATATTTTAGGAGCTATGATTAGTTATGTTAAATTACGCGTTTAAGCCAGGGTAAAATGGTTAAGCACTGGGGTAAAGTGGTTAAAATAATATTTGACATTATATTTATTGTTTTATTTAACAAATATTACAAATTTAAGATATATTTATGATTTTTATTTACAAACAAATCAATGTAACAGTGGCGTAGGCATGGAGGGGGTTCAACCCCCCACCTCCCCCCCCCCCCATGATAATGAAAAAAAATTATTTTTTTTTAAATTCTTAATAAACGCTTGATTTTTATGTTTTAAATTTATTATAAATAATAATAGATATACACATTTGATTATTTTTATATTTATTAAATAAATTTTATATTATTTTGCATTTCATAAAATTGTCTAATTTGTCATATTCCATTTTATAAAAAATATATAATTTCTTATTTTCAATATGAAAAAACAATCATTTATTTTATTCATATTTCAACAAATCACATCCTACACCTATCACTACATTGGAAAATCAATGCAATATGGACATGTAAAGTAATTTTCATAATTACCACATCTAGGCACATTGTCAATTCAAATACAAACAATATAATTTAATTACTTGTTTAGGCGTTTTACCATAAATGGTATACTTGCTTCTAATATGTAGTCACACAATGTAGATTCTCTTCATTTGTAAATATTTATTTATGGTGATCTTAACTTTTAATACCATTTTTATATCTTCCACTCAACGTTGGATAAGGTATGTTATATTTTTTAGAGGACAAATTAAGTGAAGTTTTGCTATTTTATATTTTATGGCTTCGTCGATTATACCTACATCTCCTGAATATTGTTTTTCTCAAATAATTTCTCGTTATTTGATTGGTGCAATAAAAGTTATAATAAATGAATGAATGAAAAATTTAATGTAAATAATCATATGTTTTAACCGTTTTTACCCATAACAGCTTTTACCCCAAGGTGACATATGTTATAAAAAACCGTTATTGCGTAACTTCTAGTATAGCTATAGATGTCAGATAAATTTATTTTATAGCTAGTACTCCATGTGTGCCGAGAATGATTTTTTTTTGACAAAATATATAAAACCAGGTAAGTTTTTGGAAAATATAAAAATACATCTTCGCACCAAATTTAAAATCTTTGTGCCTAAGGGTTAAAAAGTTATTTGCGTTAACTTTGTTACCCCGTCAATCGGGATCGCTTTACCCCGGTCTCCCCTACATCAACGCGCAAAAGACTAAAATATGCCTTTTTTTAAAAAAAATAAATGGTTTCTAAGCCATTGTTTATAGTAAACGCGATTTGTTCAAGCGGTGCGGTATTTAATGGTATTATCGAAATCACAGCTGATATATTACCGCAACGATAATATTTCGAAATGTATAAGTCGCGACATATATGTTTTTTTTCTTCAAATTTTTGTCATCACTTGTTATCATCGTTTTTCTCCCACAAATATTTGTATATTGTACCTAATATATTGGCTTGAATTTTTCTAAATAACGCGGACCGTTCGAATAAATCTCGTTTACTATAAAAAAAGAGGCGTAGCGTCAACCGATAATTTGACCAATTTGACGGGATACCATTTGAAACGCATTATTTATGTGAACGCTATGAAGCGCCCTATTTTTGTAGCACAATATATATATATATATTAAAATTGGGAAAAAATATTTGCGAATGGATTAATATACGTTGTTGGATTAGTATTATTATTATATATATAATAACCATTATGGTATCTTATTTTAAAAAAAGGAGAAAATCAATAAAATTTATGATCAAAACAAAAAAATAGTAATAACCCAAGATTTTCTATTCCTAATAACTAATGCTGAGAAGGTTTAATCACTTTTTCCGCATCGATTTTCAGTCTGGTCGAGTTCTTGAGATGGATCTTCTCCCGGCTCGAAAAATTTCTCGGTCTTAACCGGGCTGGCGATGTTGACTATACTGATATGTCCACTCGCTCATTCGTATTCCGCCTAATTATCGATTTCTATTAATCTTACGTCCTTAGGCCGCGTTCATAGTCGAATCCGATGCGGCACGACTTAACAGCTGATCGATTTTTAAAATTTGTTTACGAGATCATTTTTACAGATTCTAAAAATCGATCAGCTGTTAAATAGTGCCGGATCGGATCCCGCTATAAATCCGTCCCTAAAACTTCTATCAATCGTTAGCTCGCTCTATGGTCCCAAAATGGAGGTAAGAAGTTTAAAAAATGGCCGATTTTGGATTTACAAAAAATGTCAATTTTTACATCTTGGTATTATGTCATTTGACAATTTATATTTTTTAGCCAATATCATGGTCAAAAAAAAAATTTTTTTCCTATTACATTGAAATTTATGTTATAGTAAAAAAAAAAGTTTAAAATTATATTAATATCGATTTATATAAAAAATAATTTATGTTTCTAAAAGCGCCGCGAAAACTAAATAAGGACATATGTTTTTGGAGGATGAAAAGGAATCATTTTTATTTTTATATAAAAAAAAATGTCGACTTAAAATATCAGCTGATTTTGATTCGCGCCAAAATTAAACGGATATATTGTTCTATAAACACATCGTGGGGGAATTCTATAAATAATAATTCGGCAAAAGAAATAAATTTTTAGATGTCGATCAAATGTCGAAAATAGATATCAATCAACCTTCGAAAAATTTTTAAAGTATGATATCAATATCCGTGCCAAAAAACACAAAATTATATTATAGAGCCATCATGACCATCTTACACCTTTTCAGGATCTGATCTGAATTTTTCGCCAGACGCCACCGCCCTACTATTTTTAAGGTACCCCCAGTCCAATGACTTGTAATAATACCAAGACTGACGACGCATTCATTAAAAGCGTACATCAACGAAAAACAGCTGGGGACGCCATTTTGATTACTTGTATCGTTATCAAAAATTTAAAATGAGAGGATCCAATTTATTCCCATGTCTGACGCAAACTTTATCGAAGAATTAGCATGTTCATTGAGATGATAAGGAAGCAAGCACTCCTTAACACGAGAATAATTGCTATATGGATTAACCAAAATGGCGGATCCAGCTGATTTGCATTCAACGACGCTTTTCAAATGCGTTATTTTAAACGCGCATCGTCAATTTACGTATTATTATATGTCAATCATTCCCCAATTCAGACTGATCCTAGATTAATTCTAAAAAAAATATATATTTTAAGGAAGAATGTTAAACTGTTAAGAGTCGGTGTTTCCTAAAATGGCTCGATATTAGCCGATTTTAGCACAACACGCCTAAAGCCTTTTCTGCCATCTGTGAGCGAAAATCTCCACGATTTTTTTTTTGGCTAAAATATTGGTTAGCCGTTTAAAAAACTCTAGTTAGTTTTATAACTTTTATATTATAAGAAATTAATTTATACATTTTTTTAGAAAGAAAAAGGTTATTTTTTTGTTTGTAATTAACTATAAATTATATATATATGTGTATAGAGAGAGAGAAATTTTTATTTAAAAAGCGCCTAAAAACATATAATTTTGCAAAACAAAAAATATCTTATGACTACGAAATGTTAATTTTTTTTTAAAATATATTTTACCATTATATATATATATATATATATATATTATTAATTGAAAATGTTTTACTTTAAGTATTTTGACTTTAAAATGTTAAAAGAAGGTATTGTTATTTTATTTATTTTTTTTGGTAAGACAAAAATTTGTTTTCTGGGATCAACAGCTTGGGTCCTACTCTTAAGGAGTTCTCGAAAGCGCGAAACGATACCCTTCCCCCGTTTGATTGGAAAAGAGATCTTCCACTTAAAGTTGACGTAGATTAATAGTCATGATCAAGTTTCCCCCCCCCTCAATTACTAGTTCTGAGGTCTAGCTGTTTTAAAATAAAACCCGGGATATTCAGAAAATTAACTTTCAATTACTGATATAAACTAAAATAAATTCCCTTACTAACCAATTTTTTTTTTTTACTAATAGGAATGATATTGAGGTAATTCTAATACAAACTTTTAAGGGCAACGAAAAATTTTCGTATACTTTTAAATAATGTGTCCCTGATAAAATATTTTCATCCCTCCTAACTTCAGAATCATGATTGAACCCCGTCAGCTGTCAAATTATTAATAAAATATATATTATGTATCAAGCTCCGGTCAGGGTCAAGCCGTTGAACGAACAAGGCTCGCTTAGCTTGGTGGAGGGGGATACTCTCAAACTGAAATGCGAAGCTTTGTCCTGCCCAAAACCTTCCATTCTCTGGTTCCGGAAACGGGATAAAGACGAGTCCTTCCATCCCCTCAATTCCGCGAGCGTGGGCGTAGGGGATAGGATCAGTTTCGATCAGGACAAAGCGGAAGGTATCAATTTTTTTTTTCCAAAATTATTTGAAATAATTAAAATCGGCTCAGCTGTTTCACATTTTTTTCTTCTTCTTCGCTCGATTTACCTCGTGAGTATATATTAGCGATCTGCCGGTCCGGCCCGTTTAATTTGTTAAAAGTCGTGGCTCGGATTCCAGCTCCACCTAAAATTATATTTGCAAGGAAAGCGCTGTGTTCTTCATTTTATGTTCCGATCACTTTCTTCCATCTTTTTTTTTTAGTAGGAAGGCGCCCAGCAGTCGGAAAATTTATAATATTTCGATTCTTAGGAGGGATCTCATGATCGATTTTTTTTTTCCCTGATATTTCCTAATTTTGGACCTAAAATTTCGTTTTTTTTTAAAAAGAATTTATTGAGTTCTGATCCCCTAATAACAAAATTAACTCACGTTAATGTTAAATTTTTTTTTCTCTTTAGCTTCCACCTTTTTCTGGTGGTAAACTCCTTCAATATCTCTCTCCACTTTATGTTTGTTATTCATACTATCTCTCTTATCTAATTTATACTTCTTCATATTGGCTCTAACTTAATGGGCCCATTGAATTTTTGGCCTTCCTCTTTTACGTTTACCCATCACTTCCAAACTCTCAACCCTATTGCCTACGAAGTTCTTGTCAAATTTTTTTTTTTTTAAACATTAACAATTCTCGAACAAATATATAAAGTTTCATTATTGAATTTTAGAAATAACGAACCTAAAAACATATTTTTAGCTTTTAAGTTCCAAAATTATTAAAATTATGCATATTAAAAGATCTGCCGTCAAAAATCTCCTAATACCTCTTGTTATTTTATTTTTTTCCAAATTACCTATCGATGGTTAAATTAAAAAATTATCTAAAAAAAAATATTCTTTACGAGCGCCTGATAAGTTATTCCACACTGATCATTAGAGGGTTAAATAATTTTGGTTGTATTGGGTTGTTATTTAGCATCCTCTGGATTTAATTAGATATTTTTAAAAAGTCATTATTTATCATTTAAATTAAATTTTAATGTAAAGATGTGGAAAATAGCACCTTGAAGATCAAGAATATGGGTTACGAAGATAAGGGTTTATATACTTGCAAGGCTTCTAATCTAAAATCAGAACACAATAGCACCATTAACGTTAGAATCAAGGGTATTACATTACCAAATTTTAAAAAAAAATTAACTCATTACGCCATATTTTTTTTTTATATTATAAAGACAAATTGGCGGCTCTTTGGCCGTTCCTTGGGATTTGCTTGGAAGTAGCCATTCTGTGTGCCATAATCCTGATTTACGAGAAGAAAAGGGCTAGGAAGAACTCCGATTTGGACCTTAACACGAGCATCAAATCACCTACTTAGTAAATATTACTATAGAGGTCCACACAACCCGACCTAACTGGAAAATCCGATCAACCGACCCGATCCGTCGGTTAGGAATTTTTTTCCGGTTGGCCGGGTTTGGGAATATTGTTTACAATTAAGAATTTAATTAGAGGGATATCAATAAATCGTGATTTAATTTGTACATTATTTTATCTATTATTTCTTTAGAGTATATTTATATACTAAAAAAATAAATAAGTTTTTGGAGAAAATTTTTTTGTTTTGATTTTTTTGGTTGAAAATTATATGTTTCGAATTGGGCTAGGTTCGGGAATTTTTTTAAAAAGTTTAGGGTTGGTGTTTTACTCCACACGGGACTCGAGAAAATTTTGTTTTTAGGTCTCTAATTACCTCTCCTTATAAAGTAAAATTGTAGTCAATCGTTATGTCGCGTAATTTTATAAATGAACGAGGTTAATATAGACTCTTATGATTTTAAAAAATACATATAGAATCTATTAGATAATATTCCCAGAAATAAAACCCACCTCCACTGGGGAAATTTAAAACTCCAAAGGAATCACATAACTTTGGCAAACTCCAATACGGCTTAGCCTTAGTCCTTCAGTTGAGACTCAAATTAGAAGGGTTTAAAGTCAATTTTTTTTTAGCTTAAAAGCTTAATGGAGTCATATTGGAGCTAGCCAGTTAAGGCAATTGAACGAAGTGAAATCGACGATATTCCGATAAAAAATTTTATTATTATTATTGAGGTGCTAAAATTATTTTGATTATATTTATATAGTTAACAAACTTGAAACTACAGAAATATTAGTTAATGATATTTTTTTATAATATAGCAAATCTCCAGATATAGATTTATCGGAAGATCAAGAAATAAGGCATCGAAAATCATGAATTAAAAAACAGGACAGGACATCTAGAAATATTTTATCCTTAACAAAAGCTTGATAAATTTTTTATCATTTTAAAAGCAAATTTATTTTGCTTAAATATATTCGCGTATTTAATTATCTTTTTATCATTATCATATAACATTTAATACAAAAAAAAAGTGTATATCTGGGAAATTAGATGTTTTAAATTAAGATTTCTGTCTATTCAATTTTATTTTTTAAAAAAATATAATTTTTAATTTATGAATATGTAATGTTATACAAAAAAAAATATTTAATGATAAGCTTAAAATAATATCACGTTTATTTTTTTTAAAAAATTATTTTCAATTTTTGATTCCTCAAAATAAAAAAGTATTAAAAACATGTTAGCAGATAAAAACTGCCCATAAAATTTTTGATGCAAGATTTTAGATTACTTAAAAGATATCTGTAGTAAATACTGGAATTCCTTGATTTTTAGGACACATCCATTTCCCATTTTATTTTTTGAGGCTTTTGTTAATAAAAATTTTTGAAGTGAGGGTTTAGTTAGAATATATGTAGGTATATAAGCCAAACTAGAGGTCTGAACTTGGGCGGCCATAGTTTGGACGGGCTTGGTTGGCTTTTCTAATATTTCATAATATTGCATATTATATGTGTTTGACTAAAATTAATGGATAAAAGAGCCAAACCATCCTTAAAATCATTTTTAAACATTAGGTGGGCGGGATTGAAAAAATTTCCAAACAACTAAGTGGGCAGGCTTTTTGGCTAAAAATTTGCCCATTGCAGACATCTAAGCCAAACCTTCTAAAAAAAATTTGAACCGATACATTTGAGCCATTTGGTACTCTTTTAAGGTTTATAGCGTAATTCGATAGGAAACATATTTTAATTGTAAATGAATCAATATTATTGTTTTAAGGCAGGGAATTGTTATAAAATTAATTTTAAAAAAATATATAAGCTTAATTAAATCCAAAAGGTTTGTGTGCTAGTTTTTAAAAAGGTTCAACTCGTGCCTATATTATTATTTTACGAACCAAATTTGAACAGATATTTTGTCAAAGAGATGCTCCGCTATACTGGGCGCTGATTATCAGGGTACCTTGATTCTAATCGCTATAATGAGCACTGATTATCAGGCCTGATTCCAAGAATCTACAATTAACTTGCATTTATTTACTTTTGTAAGCACTCCTCTTGAATTTAAAGTTTTTCCAGAATGTTTAGTGTTCGACTTTTTTTACTCATTTAAAATTTTTTTGAGGGTTCAAATAGTTTTAATAAAATTGAATGTTACTCACAAAAATATATAAATAATAATTTAAAGACGAATACATTTTATTATAATAAGGTGAGCAAAAGAATAATAAATTTCGTATGAATGGCTTCAAGTTTTCAATATTCTTGGACCGTAAATTAAAACGTAAGCGGTGTGCCAATCGCCTATAAATTTTTTTTTAAAAAATATTTGTTAAAATTAAATTTAGATTAATAAATACGAAATAACATTTTTTTTTTCATGAGCAAATATTTACCAAGATCTTAATTATTGGTAATAGCTCAACTGAAGAAATGTGGTATATGAAAATATAATTTAAAATTAAAACACGCAAATGAGAAAAGGGATGTAGAATTGAAGGTTAGAGATATGGTTTAGGGGTAAATATGTTTAATATGGGCCTTTAATTCTGAGATAGGTCATGAGATTATACAAACTAATAGAAATTCAAAATAAATCAGATGTGGTAACAGTACTTTCCTTCAGTTGGAAACTTAATTCAATTATTTCGTTTCAAATATTTTTGCTAGTTTAGAAATTAATTATATTTGGATATAAATTTTGAAAAGGGAAAATATTATTTAGTTACGAATTAATTTAAAACGACAAAAATAATGCTATAATACAATTTCCAAGAACGCTTTTAAAAAGCAATCCATATTGTGTTATTGACAACGTTCGCAATCAGGCAATCTTTAAATGCCCTTTTAGGATAGTTATAAAGAGTTAGCCACTCACTACTTTTTATAGTAATAGCTAGTTGTGAGGTACTTTTATTTTAAAAAAAGCAAGTAGCCTTCCTTTTTTAGAGGAGTTCGCTAGACTTTCTTTTTAGAAAAATTGTGTAGGTAGTAGCAATACTTTTTTGAAATGTATCTTTAGCGGTAACGCGCTACATTCAAAAGTACCGGTAAATCAGATTTTCATTTTTCAAATTAAAAATAACTCCCATTAAAATATGTTCTTTATTTAGAGCGCAATCATTTGTTCAGTTTTTTAAAGAAAATTTGATTTTGGTAAAAATATTTCCCATTTTTTAGTGCATTGTAAGAATACTTATCCACTTAATTGCAGCCAATTTGTCTACGAAACTTCGAACCATTTTAATATTGGCAATACATGCCTTGTTGTAATCATTAGGAAATTTTGTAGCAATATTTTTACGATTGAATGCCCTTCCTGACAGGAACCCCCTTAAGTGGATGTTACACCCTGTCGAGGTGACGTGATCCTTTTCTAGGCCCAGACCACAAGGAACCTTTTAGGCATCATTAGCCGTTAAAGACTTTATCACTCCCCCGCCATTATGAGACTGAAGGTAGTACAAAATATACAAAATTATTTATAAACATCACATGGGTTTTTGGTAAAGAACAATCTTTATGTGCGGTTTGGAGTGAAGAAGACATTACATTGGATAAAGACGGGATTGATAGGGAAGATTTTAATGATTATCGTTTATGATACTTAGATATTTTTTTAGATATTTGTAAGAAAAGTTTGGATTTAGATATTTGTATGAATAAATTGGATTTTAGACTATAAGTGAACTTGGACTATTTCTAGTTGGTAATGCTTATTGTTGGTATTTATTTAATTATTAGAAAAGGATTGTTTGGGATAAAGTTATATTTTTTTTAAGGGGAAGAGTTGAGAGTAAGGGGCATTCTTCTATAAAAAGAAAAAAAAACAATTTCTTTTTCACGTTAATACATGGCCATTGCACATAAACATTCGCAGGATGTCCTAATTTCGTTATTTTTGGTGCTACAATGGTGGCACCGCTTTCTTAGTATTTTCGGAATGCAATAATTTTAATGAGATAAATAATCCGATCCTATTTTTCCTATTATTAGTCACATATTTTTTTATGAAATTTTGAAGGAATCGATATTGGATTGGTTTTCAAACGATGATGATACTCACAACTCAGATGATTCTCGATAATTTTTAGTTGAAAGTTCTTCGTAGTATATTTATTTTGGAAATAATAAATAATTTTTTTTACTAAGTCCGTATTGTTTAATCAGTAATTTCCATGACGTCCCCGATTCGCAATTAATTTCGCGCTAAGAAATGGGTAGTATTATACAAGTTCCCTGCCCTACCTCAATTACAATTAATATGAGTTTGTGTAGATCACTGGAATCATTATAAAGCCCTTTATGGAATGCACCAATCGGGTGAAACGATGGATGCGCGCCTTTTCTTCTTTCTAAGCGATTGCCACTTTTGTCAATAGCTTCGCGATTCATAATGTTTACATTTAATAATTGCATTTTATAAAATTTTTAGGTATTATTTTCAAAATAAATATACTTACGAAGAACTTCGACTAAAAATTATCGATAATCTTCTATCTCAAAAAATTATTTATTTGGGAATATCATCATCCTTGCAAAGCAATCCAATATCGATTCCTTCAAAATTTCATTAAAAAAATATGTGGCTGAATGATATAAGGAAAAATAGGATCGGATCATATTCCAATTAATATTCTTGCTAGTGATTAGGAATCCCTTGGAAAAATACTAAGAAAGCGGTGCCACCACTGTGTAGCACCAAAAATAACGAAATCATCCAGGAAATGTTCTATTTTTGCAAAGTATCGCTGTGTATTAAGAAAAATAAATTGTTTTTCTTTTCATAACAAAAAATAATTTAAATTATATTTATATAATACACAGTCGGACAAAAAATGTCCCTCCTGCATTTATAAATTATTTAGTAATCTTTGTATTTTATATTTATAAAAATTTAAATAAAATAATGATCATTTTTTATTTAAGTCTTTATAGGTGTGCAATAGAGGGGTTATTTTTTTTAAATGTTATCACATAATTTTTTGAACATATTAGTTTTTATATTACTTTTCTAGAGGAGTTACTCGATTTTTATGAATTTTTTTTTTCTTTTTTAAGTTCATTTTTTATTTTGCAATATATTAATGAAAAAGAAATGTTTGTCCAAAAAAAGGCATTTTTACTTTTTAAATTAAATAATCTTATAAAACTGGCTAAGGCGATGCTAACATGGATAATATTTATATCAATAGAGTCTTCCATTCACTATATTCCCTATTTTCGCACTGTGCCCTAACAAAATGTATATCAACGCGTAATCGATAATAGGCTTGAATGTTTGAACTCCTACATAGTTAGAGTTACTTTAAATCTATCGAAATATTTTAATCGAAGATAATTTTGAAATGATGAATATTTTTTTTTGTCGACCATGGTCTGGACCTGTTATTTATTTAAGAACCGAACAACGGTCGGTGTATATCGGTCTAGATCTTGACCCTTCACCACAAAATATGTCCGCCTAATTAATAATTATAAATAATGCTTTCTTTCGGATTGTGAAATTTGTTTTTGAAAGCGCATTCATAACTATCAATAATAAAAAATACATAGCAAATTACCTCCACCAGATAATTTCATGATATGTTCTTCTGTCACCGGTTTGATGTTGTTATCATCGCACATCATCCAAACGTCTATATAAATAATGAGAATACATACATATATATATATATATATGAATAATAATTAATGTATTCATAGTTGAGTATAGGCGTGATGTAAATGAATTTTAAAAAAAAAAAATTTAAGAATTAGAGGGCTAACGTATATATTATAGATCTGCTAAATTGGGACTGAAAAGGCCCAGATAAGACAAGCCATTCAAGGGCATAAAAGAAATTGACACGTGTCACTACAATCTGAAGAAAAAATTTTTTTTCTTAAAGATCACTCTACAAGCCAGTTCTCGGATTTTTTTGGGTCGGTTCTTGCAGATCGTGAAAAAAAAATATATAATAAATTTAAAAAATAATTGATCAATGAACTAACCGTTACGTTTGACCCAAGCTACGTAATGTCCACTATTGCTAGTTCGGCCTTGATGAGTCAAAACTGCCAATAAATCGTAATACCCGCTATTGTTGGATCCTTCATCTTTGAACGAATTTAAGGCAAATAAAATTATAAAAACGATTTTCACAATAAACATAGTGGCCTTTATGGTTGCTGATTTCCGGAGTTGTTATAAGATACTTTTTAAATGGATCTCCATACAGATACAACGTCTAAAATAATATCCAGATACAGATTATTTAATCAAAAATCTATCTAGATACAGATACCACATTTTTATATCTAGATACAGGATCTGGATACTTGTATCTACTAGATCCTTTAACAACTCTGCTGATTTCCGGAGTTGTTATAAGATACTTTTTAAATGGATCTCCATACAGATACAACGTCTAAAATAATATCCAGATACAGATTATTTAATCAAAAATCTATCTAGATACAGATACCACATTTTTGTATCTAGATACAGGATCTAGATACTTGTATCTACTAGATCCTCTAACAACTCTGCTGATTTCGTTCACGTGGATGGCGGAAAAGTTTGAACGCCTCTATTCGCCAAATCCCGAGTGTTAAAAAATAATTGGGGATAAAAATATCTTAATCGGGACCTTCCGAAAATGAACACACGAAAAATTCAATTTTAATTTTATTACCATCCTCAAATGACGACGAAGTTGGGGGAATCTCGGCTTCGGGTTTTCCTTGGGCGGTTTTGGCGGTCTTATTTTTGTCGGGCGACAATTCGGGTTTGGGGTCATTGGAATTTATGAGCGATTGAACCTTTTTCTCTTCCGCGTCCCTGAATTTTTGGCGCCGAGGGAGCAATTTTTCCTTCAAGATCGGAGTGCAAAACTCGTGGAGATCCAAAACCATGGGAAATTTAATGTCCTAGAAACGAAAAATTTCCAAATTTTTTTGGTGGATAAAGAATGCTTTAAATATTTCACGAAAATTCCGATAAATTCTTGTGATGTTTTTTTTTTGATTTATAATATATTTCAAATCCAATTATTTTAAATCATCTTATTTTGCGTAATTTTGGAAAATGAAGACAATTTAAATCGAGAAAAACTTGTGTCAAGGTAAAACCTTAAGAAGGGTTTAATACAAGTTTTTTTTTGTCTCGTGATTAACCGGGAACCGTGAACCCTCGATTCGAATTGTCGGGTTGGACACTTTCGAGATAGCGGACCAACTAGGACCGACAACTCATCGAACCCGAGGTATTTCCAGACCAGGGTGCGATCATGCCCTTCTTCTTCCATAAAAAAAATGATTTATTAAATTAGCGTCATAAAAAAAACCTTCCTGATTTTGGCATTTATCCTTTGATCCTTTTTGAAAAAAAATCGCTCGAATTGGACGATCAGGTACGCGGGCAAACGTGAAATGAGTGACTTGAATTTGACAATTTAAAAATAACATATGTTTTATTAATTAATTTTTTTTTCTTTTTCTTTCGGTTACCTAAAAATTTAACTTACATTTTTAGAATACGTGGCGTTTCTGTCCAAACTTTGCGAAAATCTTTCGACTTTTTCGTTAAGACCCTAAAAAAATAAATAAATGTATATAGCTATATTTGGGTGAGTTAGTGAGTATAGACGGGTAATTACGGGTAATTACTATATTTTTTAGGCCGCTTAACCTCATTTTAAGGCCAGCTAAAAAAAACTCGGTGAAACCAAGTTGCCCCGGGGGTTTTTTCTTTAAAAAGGATAGCAGCTCAAATTTGATAAAAAAAACGACTTTAACCGTTATCGGATTTTATCCGGCAGGGCGCCTGAAGATTGAGCTGAATTCGCCGATATTTTGTCAATTACCCAACAATACTATGTGACAGATTAATATTTAAAAAAAAGGTCGCAATTTATTGGAATTGAATCGATGACCCGAGGGGGAAAAAAATTGAGGTTTTTTTTTTTGTTGCTGAAAGAGAATAATATTTCCTAGAAGGTAATTTAGGGAAGGCGAACAAATTTAGAAAATTCTGCCCATGTTCTGGGTCACGGGTCTCCCGCGCAGGAAACTTTAACTGGCCAGACCTAAATTAATAATAGTAAAGATAAACCCCCCCCCTCCGCTCTCGCCCTATAGCCTTCAGAAGCTAGATAAATGATGCAAATTGTCATAAAAATTCGTAGAATATGGTATCTATCCAACACTAGGCGTTGATAAACGGCTCGTTTTGAGCCGAATATTTTATTAGGAGCTCATAGGTGGCACAAAGGTTTGCGCAACCGGTTAACGAAATCTCGAAGGTTGGTCAATATTTTTCCGGCTAAAATATTGAGCTATGGCGGTTTTTTTAAAAAAAACCAGCCAAAATCGAGCCGTTTAACAAACACTATCAAATAAAGTGATTTTAAAGGTTGCGAAAAAAAGGTTAATATATATGAATTGCGAGAGAAAACGTGTTGACCTAATTGAACGAAAAACTTGTGTTCACTTTATCGAGGTTTCCCCCTGCCTTATGTTATATTTAATGTTCCTCCAGGAACGGCGGGGTTATAATGTAATATGTATGAATATAATTAAATTAATACTTACATGTTCAATCCCGGTGCGTAGATATTTAACTTCTGAAAAAAATAAAATAATTTGTTTTAAAGCCTTAACGCTTGCATTTATAGCGAGCGGAATTAATCGCTTGCGATATCGCCGCTAATATATACTTTCCGATATATACGCAAAAACAGCTGTCGCGATTTCAGCATTTTCGCGCCGTATTTTATAAATTATACCTATCATTTGCCTTTGTTTTCGTAAATTACGCGCGCGAATTATTCCGCATCGCTTGAGCAAATCGCGCTTACTATAAATGTAGCGTTACATATAAACGCAAAAAATAAATAGATTACAATCAGCTGCAATTAATAACCCACCATTATCCATTTTTTTTAAAAAATCTTATTATTACCTTCCAAATCTCTCCCCCCATCCCCCCCCCCAAAGCATCTTTCTTTTGAATATAAAAAATAACCGTTATTGATAAAGCAGCGTAGTTGATAAAAATTTTCCCGGCTAACGACCGGCATTTCCGCGGGCGCGGTAGCTTCCTCGGGTTTCATGGTGACCTCGTATTCCCCCCTGAAATATTTGTCCATAAAATTACCGCCCTTCGCACTCGCGTCATTGCTCGACGTCTGTTTATGTGCGCGTTACGTTATATTAAATTATTGTTATACCATTTAGACGCGATATTTAAAAGTTGATTTTTTTTTTTTTTACTTTCAACTTCTCTCCCAGTATGTTCCGTATTCTCACCAAACACTCGTTAGCGTCTTGTTGCCTAAAGTTCCCGGAAACGGCGGCGGAATCTTCGGCCGAATGGCCCACTTCCGGATCGGGTCTTTCGCGTTCGGCGAATTCGGGAAAAGTAGAATGGAATATTTGCAAAAAAACGAAAGGGATCAAGTCGGTCGGGTTGGCCCGCATGTGAATGAAGAGTTGTTTCAGGGCTTCGGGAAAATGAATCACGAAAAAAATTTACGGGTGAACATGTGGAAGAGGGTTAACGGTCCGGTCCGCTTTAAACCGCTACAACTTTGGGGGGGGGGGCAGACCAATTTCAGGAAACCAAATGAGGTATCTTTATTTATATCGTAGGGTCAGGAGGGCCCGTAAAATGTTACTTGGACCCCATCCGGTTTCTAAATCTCGATCTGGGTGGAAGACGCCGAATTTATATTTTGATATGTTAGTTGCCTATTTTTTTGAAATTATTTCTAGCAGTAGATGGGACATTTTATTATAGATAACTGTGGAAATGAGAGCTAAGTTTCCTAATCTAATTATTGTAATAACCTGTCTGTAACTGGTAGAATCTTTAAAATGGCGCATCATTTAATTAAGAGGGTTAAAATGATGAATAAATGTCGAAAACTGGGAATGAGTGCCATTTTTTTTTTAAGGACAGCTAAATAATAATCGCGTAAATATAAAAAAAAACAACTTATTTTTTATAAAAAAAATCAATTTGCAGGTGCTGTTAGGACGGGGCTAGATTTAGCTCATTCTAAATTTAAGATTTTGTCTCAAAATAATAATCCGAAAGCCACGAGATTTCGGGATAGGCTAAATCGCCAAGACAAAAATCGCTAAAACAAAAATCGCTAAAACAAAAATCGCTAAAACAAAAATCGCTAAAACAAAAATCGCTAAAAATTTGGCAATCTGGCTTTTATTTCCAAAAAAAAAATTTCAAGTTAATTTAACCCTCTATTACACGCTATACCAATTAAAACGAAAAATTTATAATACTCATTTTTTTTTTACTATCTATATATATCTAAAGAAGGGGGAAAAAATTTATCCACGAATTTTTTTGAATATTTCTAAGTTTTTTTGGAGTATGTTAACTAGAATACACAACGCACATATAAGACTAAAATATATTCATTTTTTCATTTTATTCTAGTAAATTATATAATGTATAAAAATAATATACAAATGCAAAAAAAATCAGTTTTTATGATATTTAGTGAAACAATTATTTGTTGGGGTAAAACATAATGATACCCCGCATTTGTCGCATGCCACTTTTGTAATGCCCTTACATCCTGGTAATTTGCACCTGACCTTTTTGTCATTATACTTCGGCCAATGTGCAAATTGGTCTTTCCGAATTTGGTAAACACTGTGCTGTACCTTTTTTACACTTTTTTATATATTCAGATTGCACTGATATTCGTCAAATACTCGTTGTTGAAATACTTTTATTTCCTTTACACAATACTTCTGCAACTGATATTTTAAAAGTTAAAGGCGACTCCTGCTCCTTCCTGGGAATTTGTAACAGGTTACAATCCCTCCGGTACCTTCAGTCCCAAAAGGATATGCTTTCGTGTTGTCATTTAGGTGAAAACATGATTCTATGAACTCCCACCTTTTTACTGACATAATATTAGCCACATTCGCGATTCTAGTATTAGCCGCCCAATATAAACGAGTTCTTGGCAGATTTATAATGCTCATATAGAACAAAATTCCTATAAATTGTTCTAATTCATCTAACGATAAATTAAGGGGTCTGCTTATATCTTTTTGAATTGCATAGAGATTAGATTCTAGTACTATTGTAGTAAGTATGTTTCCCAGTAAATATGTGAAGTAGTATATCGGATTTTTAACTTTATTGGCGAAGGGTACACTGCCTTTCCAATCTGGGGCTATTCGTGGGACATTAGTCAAAGAAGATTTCCATATATTTCGTCTTCCTGACAATACACCATCTCAGGGCCGTAACCACGGGGGGGGAGGCGCCCCCCCCCAAAAAAAAAATTTTGGCCCCCAAACCTGGCCCCCAAAAATTTTTCTGCCCCCCCCCCAAAAAATTTGAATTTTTTTTTAGAATTGATTATTTTTATATTTTTAATATAAATTTTAAATATTTATTCAAAAATATTCAAAAAACATGTCTATTTAGAATTGATTATTTTTATATTTTTAAAATAAATTTTGAATATTTATTCTACAAACATATCTAGTTTGTAAAAATTTTTTTTATCCTGTTTTATTTTTATTTTTACCCAATATTAAATTATCATTCATTCATTTTTTTTCATCTGTTTTTGTTGTGTATCACATTCTCTATAGGTATCACATTAATATTATAATATATAACCAGTTATTTTATTTTAGAGCGTTTATTTTAAAATTATGAAGAAACAATCAATTATAAACTCTTATTTTAAGTTAAAGTTAAACAAATGTCAAGCAACATCACCTCTACAAACTACTAGTAATACTACATCAGAAATTTCAGAAACTGATTCTTCTCATAGTTAGTATAAATTTATATTATTATTTCATGAGTTATATGATATTGATATAGGGCAATATTTGTATATTATTATTTATAATATATATATTTTATATAAGATAAGAGAAAGACATTTATTATTAATATTATCATTTTTGTATAATAATTTTAATTATTAAAATAAATATATTTACTCATATTTCAAGATATCAATGAAGCTAATCTAGAAAATCAAGAGGAGGAAGATGGTAAATAGTTTAAAATTTAACCCAAATTTTTCTATTTATATATTTTTGACAATATGAATAGGAGTAGGAGATTATGGTGTTTCATTATTACATTTTGATTTTAAAACAAATAAAGACGGCGAAGAGACTCAATCATCTTCATCTAGCAGCTCAGTCTCTCATTGTCAAGAAGCAACTAGTAATTGATTTATAAATATAAAAATATTATATTTTTTTGTTAATCTTTAAAGATATAATGTTTATGACTTTTTTCTAGTTTTTAATACTAAAATTTTACTGATAATCTTCATCAGGGTTGGGCACTACAGTAACTTGTATCTTAAATACAAGATAAATTTTGTGTTTGTTCATTTTCAGCATGCCCTTCCTTCGCCCATCCTGATGACCATTATTATTTATGACCCTTTCCCTCATTACAATTTATTAATTATAATATTTTTAGTGTCAAAAAAGTCCTCTAATGGTTCAATTCAAATCCCTGGTGACCTTGGCCAGAATAAACCAAATCAAATCAAATTAAACACTTACGCGAAAAAAGATATCCATGGAAGGCAAAGATCATTTCAAAAATCATGGTATAGAGGCCGAGACTGGTTGGAGTATAGTGTAGAAGCTGACGCTGCCTTTTGTTTTCCATGTAGGAAATACTTGTGTAATCCAAGTGATGAATTTGGACAAACGGGATTCAGAAATTGGAAAAATGCGTTAGCTGCCAAGAAGGGACTGCTTAAACACGAGAGCTCAAAAGCTCGTTTAAATTCAATTACAATATGGAATGATAAAAATCAAAATATAAACAATGGTACAGAAATAACTAAAATGTTGGGAGGTGATCAAATTAATCGTAATCAATATTATATTAAATCAATATTTGATTTGATGCTGTTTCTTAGCATACAAGAGCTACCTTTCCGTGGGACTGGTTCAACAAATATTACGGATGCTGCAAAAGATGAAAACATAATTTATTCTTCTGGACTATTTATAGCAATGTTTTCCTACACCATCCAAAAAGACCCTGAATTAAATAAAATTATGAAATTTATACCCCAAAATGCCCAGTATACATCACCACAGATTCAAAACGAAGTAATATCCATTATGGCAGATATGGTGCTTGAACATATTTCAGACAAATATAATAAAAGCGAGATGCCTTTTTTTTGTCTTAAGGCCGATGAGACAAAAGATGCTTCAGGTTGTGAAAATCTGAGCATAATAATTCGCTATATTTTTTCTGGAGAAATCCAAGAAAATTTAATAGGAATCATTAATTTAGAGTGTCTTTCTGCTGAAAGCATTACAGATTGCATTTTAAAGCAACTTAATGATCTATTAATTCAGCTAATATAATAAGCCAGGCATATGATGGTGCAAACGTTATGTCTGGCCGAAATGGAGGAGTGCAAACACTTCTTCAAAAAAAAATTAATAAAAATGTTCCTTTTATACATTGCTACAACCACAAGTTGCATCTTGTGGTTCAAAATTGGTATAATAATATTGTTATTATTTCTAATTTTTTTAATTTATCAAATGCATTGTATAATTTTTTCAGGCGTTTTAACGTATACTGTAAATATACAGGCCACACCCTTAAGAGACTTTTAGACCAGAGATGGACTGGTCATTTAGAAACATCTCGCATTATTTATGAGAATTTTGAGGCTATTGGTGAAGTATTATTCTACTTTTCTAATAGAACTCTTAATTCCGAGGTTTCAATTCATGATTCAGTCGAAGCCTCTGGTCTTTTATCTCAATGTATTAATATAAATTACATTATATTAGCCATCATAATTTATGAGATATTAATTACAATAGATCCACTAAATAAGTATCTACAATCAGTAGGTACTAATTTAGTGGATGCTAAAAATTGTATTGATTCTACTATCAATATATTAAAAAATAAAAGAAGTGATAATTCTTTTGCTTTGATTATGATTAAGGCTGAAAAACTTTTATCAAAATTTAATCTCACTCCCCAAAAATCATCACGGGTACGTAAAACGCCTAAAAATTTCCAAGATTTTTTAGTTGATAGCAAACTAGAATTCGATTGTGAAAAAGACTCCAATTGGAGTTCTTTAAAAAGGATATATTATGAAATTACAGATAACTTTGTGGATCGTTTTTTAGACCGATTTACAGAAGATGATTTTAATCTTTTTTCATCTTTTAATACATTGTTCCCCCTTGACCCTGATTATTTTTTTATCAGATAAAATGGCCCCATTAAAATCCCTGTTAAACTTAAATATGGAAACACTGCATCATGAAATGAAGATAGCAAAAGGATTGCTAGCTTCGGAAGCTAAAGAAAATCATAATTTTGAAAACATCTTACATATTATGTATAAAAAAATATATAATCATGCATTTAAAGAATTATATAAATGCTACTCAGCAGCGATAATCATTGGGATATCAACGGCTTCTTGTGAGGCCTCGTTCTCTACATTAAAGAGAGTTTTATCGAGCAGTAGAGAGTCTATGAAGGATAAACGTAAACAAAATTTAGTATTAATGGCGTATGAAAAAAGAATAACGCAGAATTTATCTTTTAGTTCATTTATATTAAAATTTAAAAATAAAAATCGCCGTATTCTATTATAGTAATATTTTGTTTTGTATATGCATATTATAGTATTATTTTTTTTGTATATTCATATTATAGTATTATTTTGTTATTAAATTTTTAATAAAAATAGGAAAAAATTTCTATGAATGCGTAATTATTTGTTTGATTTTAAAAAAATAGTGCCCCCCCCCCAAGTGAAAATTCCTGGCTACGGCCCTGCACCATCTGGATGGCTGGAGTCAGAGTCAGTGCTTTCAATATCCGAATCATCTGATTCAATTACCCCTAAAAATATTTATTATAGCATAAGAAATACTAAATTTACCACTCTCACATAGTATATATTCTTCATCAGACGAATCACTCAATTGAGAATCCTCACTATCTACGGGTATTCTAAAATTTATATCACTAGTCATTGAGCTATAAATTTATTTGATAAAAATGCGATTCAAAAAGATATAAGCAGACCCCTTAATTTATCGTTAGATGAATTAGAACAATTTATAGGAATTTTGTTCTATATGTGCATTATAAATCTGCCAAGAACTCGTTTATATTGGGCGGCTAATACTAGAATCGCGAATGTGGCTAATATTATGTCAGTAAAAAGGTGGGAGTTCATAGAATCATGTTTTCACCTAAATGACAACACGAAAGCATATCCTTTTGGGACTGAAGGGTATGATGTTCTTCATTAAATACGACCTCTGCTGACGATCACAACAGATATTTAAAAAAAAATTACACTAGGAGAAAATCTATGCGTCGATGAGCAAGTTGTTCCTTTCAAAGGGCAAAGTAAGATGAAACAGTACAACCCCCAAAAACCTAAAAAGTGGGGTTTTAATTTTTTTTTATTATGTGGAAATGATGGTATTATTTATAATTACGAAATATATATGGGGAAAATTCTCCAAGCCGAAGGTATGCCAGATATAGGGGCTTGTGGGAATTCAGTTCTGCGCATGGTTGTCGCAGTCCCATTGCATCAAAATTATAACTTTGACAATTGGTTCTCCAGCATAAACTAAATGGTTATATTAGCGCAAAGGGGAATACAATGTGTATCAACGGTTAGGGCAAATCGCCTCAAAAATTGCGTTTTGCCAACAGATCAAGAGATTAAAAAAAAAAGGAAGAGGAAGTTTTGTTGAAAAAAAAAACGGTGATCAATGGAGTCAATTTATCTGTTATAAAATGGTTTGACAAACGTTCAGTTTATCTAATGAGCAGCTTTATAGGGGCCCACCCAATATCTGACGTGAAACGATTCGATCGAGAAAAAAAAGGAAAGCATTAACGTGAAATGTCCAGCCATTGTTAAAAATTACAATAAAAACATGGGTGGAGTGGATCTTATAGATTCCCTAATAGCATTATATAGAATTCATATCAGGTCTCGAAAATGATATCACCGAGTAGTTTTTCATATTTTTGACATGATGCATACTAATGCATGGCTATTATACCGGAGGGATTGTAACCTGTTACAAATTCCCAGGAAGGAGCAGGAGTCGCCTTTAACTTTTAAAATATCAGTTGCAGAAGTATTGTGTAAAGGAAATAAAAGTATTTCAACAACGAGTATTAGACGAATATCAGTGCAATCTGAATATATAAAAAAATGTAAAAAAGGTACAGCACTGTGTTTACCAAATTCGGAAAGACCAATTTGCACATTGACCGAAGTATAATGACAAAAAGGTCAGGTACAAATTACCAGGAAGGGCATTACAAAAGTGGCGTGCGACAAATGCGGGGTATCATTATGTTTTACCCCAACAAATAATTGTTTTACTATATTTCATAAAAACTGATTTTTTTGCATTTGTATATTATTTTTATACATTATATAATTTACTAAAATAAAATGAAAAAATGAATATATTTTATTCTTATATGTGCGTTGTGTATTCTAGTTAACATACTCCAAAAAACTTAGAAATATTCAAAAAATTCGTGGATAAATTTTTTTCCCTTCTTTAGATATATATAGAGTAAAAAAAAATGAGTATTGTGTAAACACTTCGATATAAGTTGAATTTTCAGAAAAAAATTACTAAAAAATAGTGGAAGGGAACTGAGATTTCATTAAGAGTATGAGCAAAATCTTAAGGTTCGCATAGCATATTTGGCATGGAATTATATTCCATCATATTTATGTACATTATTTTATTTTTCTTAGCAAAAATCAGAGAAAAAAAATTTAGATTTGTTTAAATGACAAAGATTCAATAACCATATATTTAGCTAACCTCTAAATTTGGTTAAGAGAGATGTCCAAACCTTACCACTATCTACGAGCAAACTCTCAAGGTTTGTGTAATTATATTTGGCATGGAATTAAAAATTAGTTTTTTTTTAAATGACAAATATTCAATAAACATATATTTTGCCAATTTTGTTTTTTTTTGAAACTTACAATTCGTATTAATTTTTATTTAGTCTATTTGAAAGAGAAAAAAAATATTATAAAAACATAAATATATTACTTGATTGTAAATTTGCAAAGTTGTTAAAATATCTAAGTTTTTAAACTATGAATCTGTATCTAGCTCCAATTAAAAAGTAACTTTTATCAACTCTGTTAATTTGAGGCATAAATTTTTTTTCAATATAAATGAGTATATTTTTGGCATGTTTCTTCTTCCATAAAAAAGTTAATTTGATAACAAAATTTTTAAAAGTTAAAAAAAAAATTAACACTTTCTTATTGGTTTAGAAATTTCATAGGATCAGTTATCAAATCATGGCTTAATGTAAAAAAATTTTTAAGAGAATTATTGTATTAAGTTATCAATCACTGGTATTAGATAAAACTAACAGTATCAGCCAATTTCCATATATTGGCTAATAATATGGCATTGTTAAATTTTTGCCAATTATAGAATTTGATTAACAAATGAGAATATCAATCAATATAACCAAGCTACTAAATATCTGAATGATGCCATTAAAAGATGAACATAAAATTGATAGATATACCTAATAAAAACGATTCTTGTTGATCACTTACAGCAGAAGATATACCCACTTTTGGTTCAACTTTGTAACTATAATTTATATATTTTTTTTTAAATAAATTTTTATTAGACAATAAAATTTCCATATGTTCATTTTTTTAAAAAAAAAAAAATTATTGCAATCTATGATCAAATGGCCAATAAAATAAATTATTAATGATCTGTCAAAAAAATACAAATTATACTTAACAATCCTTTCTCGCAAAGCTGGCACAGCATAAAAGCACTGAAGAGTTGAATTTAAATAACATGTGTTTCCAAGGTTGACTAAGCCAGCTGGTAGGTCATATAATTTGGCCAAAGCCTCATCAGTAATGTCCTCCTCAAATACTACCTTGTCAGTTTTTATTAAATTAGGTTTTAGTAAAGCATCTGTTGCAGAATTAAGAGAATGAGCTAATTCAGATGTTTGATCAATGCTATCAGAAGGTAGATTGTTGACTTCACTACTACCCATCAATAAAATTGTAGCACCCTTAAGATAAATAATTCTATAGCTATAATAAATTATATATATAAAGTATACAAATCATTTTATTTCTATATTATATATTTACACAATATTTATATTTTAAAAATAATCTTAATCTCTTACATCTTTCAAAATAAAATTTTGCCAATTTTCATTGTCTTTTAGAGCCATTCCTTTCATCATAATCTTTTGCCTATCTGGTAATACGCCTGATAAAGCAAAAAGTTGGGCCTTAAACACAGATGGTTTTTCTGTTATATTAACATCTACATCAAATTTTTCCTTCTTCCATTTGACTTGCACTGGCAAAAATTTTAAATAAAAAATATAATAATTATTTAAGTTGAATTAGTTATATTAATAATAGTTAGTAGTGCTAAAAAATTACTACCTTTTCGTGTGCTCATGTTGGAAAATTTTTGAAAAATGGGATAAACCGAACCTAAACAAGGATTTAAATATTTTTATATATGGGTTGTTCAATTACATATCATCGTTCAATTATCATTGGGGTTGTTTAATCTCTTTTTATTACTTTTATTTATTTTAGAACGTATTTTATAAATATACAAATCTAATTTTCTCAGAAGGGTATTCCAATTTAAATAAATTTCTGACAAAATTATATTTTTAATTATAATATATGTGCTTATGATTTCAAGTTCTAAAAATACAATAAAATGTTGAACAGCGCTCAAGTCAGGACTATCGCCTTATCAACTAAAAAATTTATTTAAAATTCATGTCTATATATTAAATTTAAATAATTATCAATATTTAAGCAAATATTTAAATAATGCCTATTTTATGACTTTGATTTTTTATCTAATATTTTACTTTCCTATTATTCTAAATTTATTATTTTTTATACTGTAATTTAACCCTTTATTTTTTTATCTTAATACAATTAATATTTTTGCTTGTTATTCAATTAATATACTTTTATTTTAAACTAATTATAATTCTTTGTTCAATTCATGATAAAAATTTATTATACTTTTTTTAATCATTATGTTTTTAATTATATATTTTATTGTGTTACATATAAATATCGGATTTTTTAACAATATTATATACGCTCTTAAATATTTTGCATATTCGGATATTTTATTATTTCTATTCGTAATTGTAATTTTTAATATATAATTTGTATTAATAAATTTTATATGACAATTCTAGTAAATTTTTAATGCTAAAACCCCAATAGAAAATTGCTGGCTATGTGCCTGATTATACATACCTATATTTCCCCAATATCAATTAAGAGTCATATATCTCTCTTCTATGGCTATCTATTTTTATAACAACAGTTTTATAAATCAATTGTGCTTATATTTGTATATACCATGCATTTTTAATTTTGTCATAAATTAATTGATTATTTCTAAATTTAGTATTTTCGTTAGGCAGCTCTTAAAATAGAAAGAAATCAGTATATTGTAATATATTTTTAAATAGTATTAATCAAAATCAAAATATTAGCTTTGAAATTTACATAAATATATCAAAATTTTAATTCTGGGGTTGTTAATTAAAATTTTACAAAATATCTGAAATTTAAGAGGCCCTACCAATGACATATAATAATAATAATACCTAGAATGACGATGCAGTCATTAAAAGTGTATCAATGAAAACATTTTGATTATCCATATCATTATTAAAATAAACAAGAAGCCAATTTATTCCAATCTCAAACTTTATTAAAGAATTGCTTGATCATTGAGATAATAAGGAGACAAGTTATCAATTTAACACTAGTTTTTAACATGAGAATAATTATTATTTTTTATCAAAATGCGGGTCCAGCTGAGTGGCATTCAACGACGCTTTCAAATGCATTATTATGAATGAATCGTCAGTCGTATTATTATATGCCATTAGGCACTACCTGATATTTTATGTATAAATTGACAGATCTGGCTCAAAAGTTATTTATGCAATTATTGACTGCCCGGCATATTTTTCCCCGGCCCCCTTTCAATTTCTTATTTTTTATAAAATCTTTCCTGCCCGTTTTAATTTTTGAAAATTTTACCCAGCCCATGGGGCTGGGCTGACTTGAGGATCTCTAATCCATATCACGTGAGAGCAGTGTTTGTAATAATTATTTTTATATTCTTATAAATTTGATAATCTTATCCCTATATTTTTATGATAATACCAATCAATTATTCACAAAATTATTGGTAGAAGACTAACTATAAGGAGATAGATTAATAATATTAATCAAATTGTGAACCCTAAATATATAAAATATTAATATTAACTAAAATATTGGACGTATTTTTATCAAAATACCAACCAACATATAACACACACATAACATATTTATTGTTTAAAACACTCAACAATAATTTTACAATTTCTTTTATTGATTCAATACTAAAGAAAACAAAGATAAAATAAATGTGCATATCACTTATTCGAAATCCATGACAAACGTTCATAAATGTCAATTATATATCGACAGATACAACACGTATTTTTTCTAAATTTTATTTCATTGAAAGAGAGAAGGAGGCTAAAAATCCATTCCAGAAAATATGTGTACCTCCTACAAAATTTTAAGAGATTATAGCGCGCTTTTTCCAATATTGATTAATTCCCTCAGATAATTTTTTAAAATATTAAATCGAGCGTCTGAAGTATTGTAGCAACAGTGTACATATTTCTATTTGCAAATCATGAATTATATGATACAAATATAAAGACCCTTAGAACTTTATTGTGGACAATTCTACCCCTATCCTATTTAAAAGATATATTGAAACAAATAGTGTCGTTAAAAGGCGCCATGGGGCCGATTTTTTAGAAACGGCTAAATCAACATTTTAGCCTGATTCATATCGCCCTAAGCCTTGAGATTTAACTAATAGATGTTTAAGCCTCTTTGCTATTTATGAGCAAAATCTTCAGGCTTGTGAAACATTTTTCTGGATATAATATTGAGTTAGCCATTTTAAAAAATTGTCTCATGAATAAATTATTGCAACTCGTGGCTACTAATCGCAGAAATAGAATAAAATCCATAATGTCGATATAATTTAAGAGGGTTCCGGTTTTAAGACCTTTGACACTAGGTATATATGCATATAAGTATAATACTGTATATTGATCTAAATTAAAGTTGCTAAAGTGTCTCTATTATTAAGAATGGGCGAGGGATGTGGGAGGTGTGAGGGGAATAAATATGTAACTAGTGAGCTGATTCTTTTATATTTACTCTCGACATCATATAAGAAATTACTATTTTGTGCTTAAGACATAGAGGCAAACTCAATAACAACGCCCATTTTCTAAGGTAATATATTGATTAATCAGGGTAGTGTTTACATTTTAGGTGGGGGGGGGGGAGGGAGTAGGAGACAAATGCCTCTAAAATATATAGCATATTGGGGGGTTGATAATGATTTTAGAAGGGTGGGTATTCATTTTTTGGAGTTTGGTATTGATTTTTGAGAATTAATTTTAGATTTGAATTATAATCTTTTATAATCCATTAATTGATAAGATTTATGTCTATTCGTTGACTTTCTGACAAATGTCAATTAATAAATAATATAAAAGTATAAATATACATCATGTATAGGATCTATATATTAGTGAATATACATGGTGCACGCTACAACTCCATTTTCATTTACCATTACTTACACGTTCATAAGTTAAAATATAAATATTTTTCATATTTGGTAAATTTTCTTAGAAGTTAACATTTATATTATCAATTTCAATAAGTAATATCTAGATTTTTTTTTAGCAGGAATTTTAATAGAATAATATATTATATTCTGAATAATTATATAATAAAATAAGTCATGCTTAAAAACATATATATATACCACACTATTATGTAAAAAGTAATATTCTAATTCTAGATACCAAGTAACAGAACCTTATTTAAAGTGATGTGATGGTATTAATTGTAAAACTTCTAAAGTAAGAAGTGAGAAGATACTTGAACATTATAATAAACATCCTCATGTCAAGCCAGCTGATGTGAAATTTACAAAGATAGGCTTCAAAAGAGATAATAACAATAATTGGGTATCCAAATGGAGTTGAAACCCAGTTACAAAAAAAAGACAATAACATCTTACTTCCGAAAAGTAAATTTTTTTAAATTTATTATAAATAAAAATAATAAATCTCTAAGGTTCCACGTCAATTCGGCGCGGCGACAATTCAGCGCGGCGGCAATTCGGCGCGTATTTATTACAGTTGAATTTATTTTAAATTACTTAGTGTAAAAATATAAGGACGATTAAATAGAAGTCAATTTGAATGTTGGCATTATTATTTATTTCTTCATATTTATTTTTACAAAAATCTCAATTTTATTTACTAAATTTATATCAAAAAAAATTATCTAATATTGATACCTATTTCTTTAACGGACCATTTTATTACATTATAAGGTATGTTGATTAGTAGTTAATATTATGTAAGCCTGGAGATTTTGCGCATAGAAGGAAGAAAGAAAAAGAAAGATTTGACCTCTATCTCTAATCTTATATATTATTTTGGTTACAATCTTAATCAACCGTTTTTAAAAATAGACATAAAATACCCCCCTGATAAGTAATATAATGTTAAATCTTAAATCCCCTTTTCACGCCTAATTTTAGACAATAGAAAAAAATAAATAAAATTGTAAAAGTTTAAAAAAATAATATACCCACCTGATAAGTAATATGCCAAAAATCTTATCTTACATAACATTGGCTACTAATCAACATACCTTATGTGATAAATTGGTCAACCAAAGAAATAGGTATAAATATTTGGTTGTAATTTTTTTTTGATATTACACATTTAATTTTTGATTTATATAATAGAAAAAATTAGCCTAAGCATAATATTTTTTTAAAAAAGGATTAATAGAATTTAAGGATTTTTAATAAATCTATGAGTCAGTCTTAATTTGATCTATTTTTAAACGGTCATTTATATTCCAGCCAAAATAATATGTAAGATTTGAGATAGAGGTCCAAACCTTTCTTTTTCTTTCTTTCTTCTATGCCCAAAATCTCGGCTTACATAACATTGGCTACTAATCAACATACCTTATGTGGTAAATTGGTCAACCAAAAAAATAGGTATAAATATTGGTTGTTATTTTTTTTTGATATTACACATTTAGTAAATAAAATTGAGATTTTTGTAAAAATAAATATGAAGAAATAATTAATAGGACCAACATTCAAAATGATTTCTCTCTAATCATCCTTATTTTTTTATACTAAGTAATTTATAATAAATTACAACTGTAATAGATACAAGCTGAATTGTCGCCGCACCGATTTTTATGCCCCGAATTGTCGTGTACCGAATTTTCCGCGCCGAATTGACCTGATACCCTATTTATTAATTAGCAAACATCCGTTATAGAAGATTCACAACTTGTATTATCTTCTCATCCAATTCCCAGTTCCAGTGATTCCGCTTACTTTGCACGATGAAGTATTTAAAGTAAATTTTGAAGGGAATAAATTATGAGGATATT